GAATGTCGGTGTTTTTGATGTGGTCCGGCATTGTTACGGAATACTATTGTGATAACTTGCTTACGAATTTGCGATGGGCTAACTAAACTGATCTCATACTCATCTTATCATTCTTCACTGGTGATCTGCCAGTGTAAACTGTTATCGCAGGCGGAAGCATCATTTCATTATCATCCCGTAGTTCTATCTTCACATATATGTATAAGATCTTATTAGTCGTTCAGTGAAGTATACAAAGATAAACACTTTGGCATTTTCATTATTACTATAGACTACCCTACTTTTATTGTCTCACTGGTATAGTAGATACGGTCTATGTATATAAACCACTGAAGAAAGACAATTGATATCTCATTAGATAGCAGCACTATGACTTATGCTAACTTAGCAAGTGCTTTTTCACCCTACCCTCGACACTAATTGGATCCCAGTGGCTGCAAGTTATTGATGGCAAGATCCAATTAGTGTTATTAAAAACATTGCACCTACATTTTTAAACAAATAGTAAAAAGAGATTTAAGTTTTTCATTTTCAACCGCATTTTTCTTATCGATTTCAAAGTGAATGAATATAATTTTCATATATAAGAGAACCCTATGTCTGCCCTTGGCATACAAATCTTCATTTTCAAACTTAATTATTGTATATTTATAATACATAATTACATTGTACATTTATATAAGGCATTCTCTACCACTAATGAAAGTCAATTTTTTTTACGACGATGCCTACTTCCCAGTCCGCTTGTTGCTGCAGTTGAGATAAAATAGCAAGAAACTAATAAGTACATGAAAAACAGCTTCACCGAACGGTCGAGTGCAGATGGGCCTCTAAACCCGCGGAAGGACTTATAGAGCGGCTGAAGACGAGCTCTTGTCTGACAGATACGACTTTAGTCTAAGTGCACCGCTTCAGGCTCTCGGCTCGAGCCGTCGTAATTAGGACCTTCATTTGTAATGGCTCTTGATAGAACGGAGGCAATGGGGGTGCCAAGAAACGGCTGCTAAGGGATGGGCAATAAACTCAAACGAAATTTTTTATTTATTAAAATCCGTTTAGTCATTATTCTGGAAAAGGACAAATGGACAGTTACTTACATATATATACAAAGTAGTAAAAGCAGCAGGTTAAAACCTTTTTAGTGAAGTTAATATAGTCACTTGTGTATGAGAAAAGCTTCATTTCCCGTGATATGCTGGCAGTAAACACAAAAGGAACAAAGCCTAGTAGAACGGACAATAAAAGGCTATCGCTCTACAAATGGAACATTACAAAGAATGATGGGCTTCCACGCGGCCTTTTCACCTGAGTCGCGGCACAAGTTAAGAGCAAATTACTTTTTTTATGGAATTGAAATGGCAAATAGCCATCCTAATGCTACGTGGTAACTATCATCTGTATACATGAAGTTACACACATCATGTTACAACTCATGCCTTGCCATTCCATAGTACGAAGATGGCATGACATTTATTTTATAATTTTACCCTTCATCGTGATATGATCTTCACGTTAAATTTCATTAAGATTTATTGAGTCCTTTAGCCATGAAAACATAACAATCAGACAGACTTCCGAATGTATAATATTACTATGGATATAATAATTGAAAATTAGTAGGTACTATTAATTTTACCACGCTTAACTCTGCAAATAAATAAAAATGAATTTTGTATTTTAAACCAATAAATAGGATCCATACGCTATCGTGATGTGATTAAAATACTTAAAAAAATCTTTTCTGATTTCCACATTGCTTGTCAATAAATGCTATTTCAATAATAATATCAAGGACTTTCGACTAGAAATAACCGATTTAAATTTGTGTAATTAAAAATATACAATATAAATTTAGAAATTATTTTATGTATTATTTCGCCTTTTCTTATTATTTACACCACAGTCAACAAGTGGTTTCTAAGACAGTGGAGATCGATGTGTACTAATTCCTTACCTTTCTTCGCTTTATGGTAGCTATGTTTCTACCATATACCCTATGTGGGTCAGTATTTAGGTTGCCATAAATATGTGCTATGTTTCTTAATTAGCAAATGCCTTAGTTTCGTTTACTACACGGACAATTAGTCGGAGATAGGGATTCTTAGTAATGGATATTTATAATGATTATTTGTTACAAAGATCTAAAGCCTTGAAGTAAGAATATTACCTTTCCAGCCAATATTATCAACATTATTGTTATGAATAGTCTCATAGCTAATCCTATAGTAAAGCAACGTGTCAGGCTGACTTCCATTCAGTTGCATCTAGAAACTTCCTTAGTTTCTCAATTTTTTTATGTGGTACTACTAGACAGGTAGCTGATGTAATAAGGAGTAACTTAGGCTACTTTTATTAAAGAAAAATAAATCAGTCAATTTTAACTATTACATAAGAATTTTTAAACACAACAGAAATCGTAGAGATAATTCCAATTATGTGTACATATATTAGAATCGTCAATTCTAATATATGTAATAGTTAAAATTGACTGATTTTATTCTAAATCTGATATAGAAGAAGAAAGAAGAAGGTTCTTTTTTAAAACAAAATATGATCACATTATATTTTCTTAGTTTATTCTTAAACTTCTAAAATTAATTAGTATTTCGTAATGATTAAAATATTGTATAGGAAGAGTCTTTATCTCTCACTCTAGAGAAAATAGTTCCCACAACGTCCATATTTGTAAGGAGTAGATTCTTAGAAAATGTAATATGTCACTATGAAATGTGGATAGCCTGATTTTTAATTAGTTGTATCCACAAGAAGTAGAGTTCATTTCATAGTGACATATTACATTTTCTAAGAATGTTATTATATCTAATTTCTGATCTCCATTTCAGAATTTTATAACAGCGAAAAATGGATTTCAATGTCGACGAATCTTTATAACATATACAATTTTTATTAAGATCCATTCAAAAGGCAACAAACAGTACTTTACACGGATACAATATTAGTATAGATACCAGTAATAGCGAGGTATCTACTGTTTTTGTTTTTGACGATGACGCAAATGTCCCGTCTAACCCTCCATACAACAAACAGTGACCCTTTTAACCCTCCCTGTTTGCTTTAATCATGGACGAACCGACCAATGAAAGAGATAAAATAATTACATGACTCATACTTAGCACATGTATATATTACAATTTACTAGGGATGAACTAAAAAAACTGGAGGAGACTGTAAATAGTCGTCTGTATTGGTATCTCAATTACATTTATTTCAGCTGGCAGAGAGTTTACTTTGTAAGCTGCTTCGTTTGTAGGGTACGAGTAGTCATAAAAATATTGGATGTGAAGGCATGAAATTTTAGTCTTCAGAAATGATAACACATGTGTGTTATCACGGGTTGCTGATAATAATCTTAATCTTATGAGTTCTATATGTTCATCTTAAATGTAGCTTTATACATATATTATAGACTAGCTGTTCTCGCGACTTCGTCGCGATTTATTTGTCTTTAATAAAAGTAGCCTAAGTTACTCCTTATTACATCAGCTACCTACTAAAAAAAGTCCCGTCAAAATCGGTCCAGCCATTTCAGAGTTTATATTCATGTAGTAAAAACGTATATGTATAGATGATAGTAACCAGAGAGTAGTAAAAAACGGTTATTTCAATATTACAAACAGATACTCCAATTTTATTTATATGTAGAGATGTGTAGATAAATATCTTATTAATATTATAAATGCTAAAGTTTGTAAGTACGGATGTTTATTATCCTTTCATGCGAAAACTATTGAAAACATTTTGATTAAACTTTACAATGATATAGCTTATACATCAGATTAACATATAGGCTGTATATTTCACGCGGATGAAACCGCGGGCACAGCAGTGTATATATAAAATCAGGTAGGTCGTCAGCTTGTTTGCTTTTCCAATTACATAAACAAGTCGCAATATAAGATATAGGTAGTGTATAGATGGCCGTGAAAGATGTATACAGGCCTTTGTTTACAATGCCGAAAATTCTATTATGATACCCCTCCGATCGATCCCCCGTCCAATTCAAACGGGGATCGAAATTACGACGGCCTGAGCCGAGGTTCGAACCCCTAGTGGTGCCCTCAGACTAAAGTCGTATCCGTCAGGCAAGAGTTGGCCTTCAGCCACTCCATAAGTCCTTCCGCGGGTTTGGAGTGCCATCTGCAGTCGCTCCCTAACGTCCGGTGAAGCTGTAAAGGCCAGCTGCGGCCAACAGCATTAGAGTAGTCCGAAAAAAAAATAACTCTTATGGTCGTTTCATAATAGTTTATTGATATGGGATAGAGATATTAAAAAAAAGAATTATTACTTTATTTATTACTATATTCATTATTTAAACATTTTATAGTACTGGCTTTTGAATCAATAATGTACAATTATTGGACTATAATAATATTTACTGTTTTAAACTTGACTCAGTCATTATTAGTAAAAATCACGGGATCTTACCACGTTGTGTATTACTAATTATAGATTTTTACTAATTCTACGTATATATATATATATATATATATATATATATATATATATAATAATATTTTAAAATTAATAGTAATAATAATATTAGGATAATTCACACTGTGCCATCTAGACCCAAGTTAAGCTAGCTAAAGCTTGTGTTATGGGCAAGCATAACTGATACAAACCCATATATATTTTTTTCGTAAATACATACATATTATACATAGAAAACACCCAAATCGATACAAACAGTTATACTCATGAATACAAATTTTTGTGCTTGCGAGGAATCGAACCGGCGACCATTAGAAGTAAAGCGGTGTGCTAAACCTCTAGACCACCGAGGCCGTCGTAATAATTAAATATCTATAAAAACATGTGGTTTTATGCCTATAGCGATGAATAGCTGTGCTATATACAACATAATACATATATATTGTAAATATACCGTAACTTTATCTGAACAGGTATTAGTTATAAACAACTTCACCGACCTATCTGTCCGTATGTCCCTATTTAATCTGTCCTCTACAAATACTTACCTGTCCAACAATCGATCCCCTTGAAGCCTCTCCAATGTCCAAGTATGGCAAATCATGGAAATGTCTGGTTTATTCAGCCTTTCATGAAACCTGTCGCTTTCAGCTATTTCCCTGTGAATGATCAAAGCCCGTTTGGACTGTATTCTGATTTACAGCTCACTTAAAATACGAGCGGTAATTATATTAACTGATATTTTGTATATGTTTAAGCGATATATGCAATTTCTGATATAATTTTATTCTAAATGTTTTTCATTCAAAATTCATTATTATTCAATAAATTCAAAATTCCTTTTATTCTAATATGTATTTATCCTATATTAATTCTGTCGATTTTAAAATTAAAGTTCATAAAATAGTTTCTAAAAAAGCGTGGTTTACAATAGTATATTTATGGAGAATGATATTGTGCCTGAAATAATCTTGAGTCTTTTAAAGAGAATTTTAATAAAGTTTTGTTTTAAATGATTGAGTGAGAGTGTTTTATGAAAAGAGATAAAATCTTTATTCAAATAAACTTAATATAAGCACTTTTTATATCACATTATTAGAATGATATATTCTAATAATATAATAGAATATATAATAATAAAATAATCATACTTTTTTTATTCTACCAATCATTCGGAACGCAGACTCATCACAAGAACAATGAGCAAGAAAGTTACGTGTTTTTCATTTAAATAAATGTTGATCAGAATTATATGATTAATGATAACGAATAATTAAGATGGATGTCGGACTATGTGGGAGATTCGTCGGATTTATTGAAGTCTAAATTTATACTTGCCGGTTCATCTGAGTTTTAGGTTATATAACCTACAAACTTTTTAATTTTAAATCCGCAATCCACAAATTAAATTAAATGCAAACATGAACTCAATTTCACGATTCAATGAATTTATATACTGACTTGTATAGGACAGAGTATTGTTATAATAATGATGTATCCTATAATAATATTCAGTTTTAATAATATAGGAAAGTTTTAACAGCGTGGGCTGTAATTCACACCCTTTTTTCTAACCTCTCATCTACGAAGGAGCCAATTATTGGACTCGGACACTATAGCCCTTTATCTTTTATGTTTGGGAAGTCCTGTGATTGATCTTTGTTAATGTAATTTTGACAGCTGACAGCTAATGAATTATTATGGAATGGTTCACTAGCTTGCGCTAACGGAGAATGACTTGGATGTCAACTCGACATGGTACATTGCTGGTAATAGGGTCAACAGTCCAATTCCAACAAACAAACATTAGCGTAGAATATTTAGTGCAACCACAATATATTACAAAGTCTATTTCCGTTTTGTAGACCTAAAGATAAACTTTGTAAACAGTCATCACAGGTACTTCAGGCTTTCATATTTCAAACCACGAAGCATTTGTTTAAGCCGTGTTACGGTTGTAGAATAATAATCCTTAACTTACTCTACATCTACTAAACTTCTCTTCTCACATATACTAACTACTTTACATACAAAAAATATGTATTTATATTTTTTGTATGTTTTTTAATGTTAACAAATATATCCTGCTGTTTAAATTTGCTAGCATTAATATGATTTTTCAATTTTTTACACCCACCTTTTTTACCTTACAACTCCATAAGTGATGACTTTATAGAACTCAATATATAATAAAACCTTAATAATGTAGCTTCAGATCCCACGTAGCTCTAGAAAGTAATTTCGCATCTGCAGCCCTAAAGGTGTATTAAGTATTAAATCTTTTTATAGATTACAGAAATATTATTATTATATGAGCTTATATAGTATACCGAAGTCCAAAGCTAGGTATAATGCTCATAAAACTGAACCTAATTTCATGAAAAACAAAAGTGAAAATTAGAAAATAAATTTAGTTCCTTTTTTCCTTTACTTATTTAGTAACCACATAACTTAAGGTTTAAAAAAAATCTTAAAATATAGTTTTATTAAATAATAATGAAATTGTATAGTTGATAAGCGTCGTAACTGATTAACACTCTTACCAAGTGAGATAAATGTTTATTTACAGAATATGTAAATTTTTTTATATAGAAAACTTATAATTAAGATAATTTTTATTACAACATAAAGTTTATCTGCATTCTGTTGAGCCGTGGGCATTACTCAAATAAAATTTGAATATAAAGGGCTCCTAAAATATAAAAAAATAACAATATAAAATATAGCGATATTCGATTTTATAAATAAGTTCAAAAATTCCAAGAATAATAGTTGAAATTTTGCAGATGACAAAAAAAAATATTTTTTCGCTTTCATATTAAAAGTGAAACATGAATATGTAATAAAAAACAATGAATATTCAGCTATTCAATTTCATTCAATTGAGCTCAGAAAGAAATTCTAATAATCGAAATGCCACTGCTAAATAGCGCAAAATTCCAAGTGATCCGCTCAGACAAATTAATATAAAAATACTTAAGGAGAGCGCGATATTGCTAAGTTTGCCTTCGGAATCCAACTCAAGAATCCTTAAATGAAGCATTGGAATCTGTACAAACTGTTAACGCACATGGGTTGATAAATAAAACGAGTCCGTGGGTGTATTAATCGGTAATTATATGAACGGAGTTAATTAAAAAATATATATTACGACTTTCACGGTGCATTAAGCTAAAAAATAGCTTAAAAGAAAAGGACTTATTTATATTACATATATAATAGAATTATCTACTAATATGTATTATATTTTTGTGAAATAAATATATTATAAAAATTCTCATCTCCCCCTCTTAAGGAGAGGAGATGGCAACATATTATTATTATTATAATTATACGTAAATACCATGTTTATCCGTAGAACAACAATTATAATTCTATGATATAGTAGATAGGCAGTTACTAAGAACTTGATACTGTAACTGGAAAAAATACTAACAAGTTACTAACGCTTTTGTTTACGTTGTCTTTAACAAACTTTGAAAAAATGGTAAAGTGAATTTGTTTGTTATTTAAAACCCTAGTCATTCAATGTCACGAGAAAGTCACCGATATAATTTTGTACTATACAAAGAATAGTTCTTTGAACAGCTTCTCAAAATCGTCATAGCTATAAACAGAGCAGAGATACGTGGATAAAACAGCTGCATCCGTGTTGGTTTGCTTGTTTGGTTGATTGATTTGTAAGCTGATTCGGTTGTAAGGTGCCCTACATACATCTATATCTAAACAGGATTATAGGCACCTTAGCATTGGTGTCACATGGTGAAATTCGTAGTATAGGTAACGGTTATCGCTTACCATCGGCTTTTTTAACTTTCGAAATAATTAAAAAAATGTTAGAAAATGAAAAAAACAATTACCAGATTTAATAAAATGAGAAGAGATCTGAATTAATGGGACAGGTTTTATTTATTGCTCTTATGCATATTTTGTTTATTATAAAGGGTTAAATATTTAAATATAAGTTAATAATCTTTACGGGTCAATACTTAAAAACAAAAAAATACAACATTACCGAACCGTTCGAAATATCGGCTCGTGAATCACTATTCGCTTTCTAATGTCGTTAAAATATTTATGTTCCACCCAAGCCTTTTGTGTTCCGATTGCGAATTCAGAAGCTTGCGAATCGTTTTGGCAAATTAAGAAGACGCAACCTGTCTTACATTACCGTTACATACATTAATGTTATATTAATGTACAATGTTTATGTATCAATGAGGTATTTGTTTTATAATATTATGTGTATTTATTATGTTTCAACCGGTATTCCTAACATGCTCTGCGATTTTTGGTGAGTGATTCTTTTCTGTGACAGTTTTATGTAAATAATTAGGCGCAATTATTTGCTAAATTTCATGATGATTGGTTGAGTAGTTAAGCAAATCAGAGGACAAACAAACTAACAATCATATTTTAAATACAATTTCAATACATAAATAGTAATATGTGACAATATTGTTATGATATTAATATAATTAGAACTGACGAGTTACGGTAGTAAATCACTAAATCATCCCGTAATATTATTTTGTTCTACAAATTTATTGATACTAAATCATAATAAGAATATATGGCCGATAGGGTAAGGAAAGCTGGGATTTTTGATAAAATCGCTACGCCGCGCCGTCCTCAATAATAGTACTTTATGATCGAATAAATTTGATCGTTACTATCACAATTTTATTTCAAGAAGTCACTTCAATGGTTGATTATATAAAATAATAAATTTAAGTATTTTACTATAAAAAATACTACATGTATTTTTGCCATCATATTTGTGAGGAGAAATAAATAAATCATATTATTATTATTATATCTAATAAATTTATACTTAATGTAATATTAATGTGTAGTTTTAAATTTATATGTAATTTGAATTTGAAAATTTTGGTAAACAAGATTAAGTAGTTGAATGAAATATGTAGATATATAATATAATACCCATTTATAATAGCAGTATCGGTAATAATATAATTTGTGCGTGTTAGGTATTTTATAATAATATCTACTGAAGTAAAATATGATTTTAGATTTAGATTATAATTTTGTATTTTGAATTCGACACCACAGTTAGTGTTAAGAATTAATAAAAAATAAAAAATGTAATTACATGACTAAAAATATATCGGAGTGTTATATTGAAAATTATTTACTCTATTCTTGCTTAATATGAATGAAATAAACATCTTTGAAAGTAATATAAAAGATATTGCAAATGAAAGTATCGAATGATATTCTGCAAATATTAAATAATTCCAATAACGCAGTAGTAGTTTCATCAGAAATTCAATTATAGATTCCATTACACTAGCTGCGAGATCATGAGTGTATCTATTATTTCTATTTTTCTAACATATATATTACCAAACAGTAATAGGTTTACAGAGGTACTCGCACAGACTATTTTAACCAAAGTCTAAGATAGTTAAAAACACAGTGCATTTATTTACTTGCTAATCTGTACAAAAATCTTTAACTATAAAAATCACAACTAGAATAAATAATCGAATATAATGATTACTTATTCTGGGTATGTTTCTTATGATAAGAGCTGAAGAGAAAAGTGAAGAATGAAACTGTTAGAAAAATCTACAATATTTTGAACTTATGTCAAATATACAATAAAAAGTATAAATGTTTCATGTAATAATTATTA